GATATTCAGCCTCTGTAGATGACTTGGAGACGCGGTCCTGCTACTTACACCGCCATGAATTAAACGAGTCACCAAGTCTAATGCAGCAAGAAAATGTCGAACGGCGAGTATATGCACAACCTGCATAGTCAGCATCGGAGAAGGCTTCGAGCTGAAGAGTACCTGTGGATGGAAGGAATAAACCAATCTCCTTCGTGCCCTGAAGATAACATAGGAGTCTGTGCAGTGCATCAAGATGAGAAGTACGAGGAGATGCCATAAACTGGCTCACAATTTGCACGACATAAGCAATATCAGGCCGAGTCGATGTCAGATAAATCAAGGAACCCACAATACTACGATACTGCTTCCCCCCGTCAGGTAACAAGTCCACAGACTCACGTCCCAGCTTCAAATTAACTTCCATCAGAGTCGAAACAGGGACACAATCACTAAACATCACAGTCTCCAATAGATCAATGATATACCGCCTCTGATTAAGAAGAATGCCTCCACGTACACGCTGAACTTCCAAACCCAGGAAGTACGACAACTCGCCAAGCTCTTTCAGGTTAAAAGAACTACGTAAACCACTAGTAAACTCCTGAATACCAACCGAATCGTCACCTGTAACAATCATGTCATCAACGTATAGAAGAAGAGCCACAAGTCCTCGAGGTGTATGTCGAGTTAATCGAGAGGGATCATTGAGACTCTGCTGAAATCCAAGCTCCAAAACAGTATGTTGAAACTTCTCAAACCAGGCACGAGGCGCCTGTTTGAGACCATAAAGTGAACGGCGAAGTAAACAGACCCGATCCCGAGAGCCCATGGAATAGCCAGGAGGACACTCCATATAAACTGTTTCCTACAAATCGCCATGTAAAAAGGCGTTTTTCACGTCCAACTGAAAAAGAGGCCAACACCTGTCGAGAAGCTACTGCCAAAAGAGACCAAACAGTCACCATCTTCGCTATAGGAGCGAACGTCTCAGTATAATCAATACCATACACCTGGGTAAACCCCTGAGCCACCACCCGAGCCTTGAACCGCTCAAGAGAACCATCAGGCCTTATCTTAATGTTGTATCCCAAGTCTGGTTTGCATGTAGAGCGTCAATCTCGTCATCCATAACCTTGTCCCAAAAAGGATTGCCCTTGGCTTCACTATATTTCGTCGGAATGGGAATGGCCTGAACACCGTAGGTCACAAAATCATGAATGCGGGCAGGAAGTTGCCCTTTGGTGGACCGTAGAGATCGACGAGGAGGAGGTGCAGCCGGTGGGGACGAATCTGGAGAGAGGAAATGGCTATTGAGGACGAGGACTGATCATCGGACGAGGAGGAGCCAGGTGAGGAGGGAGGTGAGTTGGGGGGTAGCTCTTCATCAACAAAGTCAACGTCATCATTAGATAAAGACGGTGGTCCAATAAACTGGGAAAACAACGAAGGAGACTCGAAAGGGGGGGCTAGAGTAGTACATCAAATTCTCGAAAAAGACTACATTACAGGACACTCGAAGACGCTGAGTGGAAGGCTCGAAATAAAGGTAACATTTGTTAATGTCACTGTAACCAAGGAAGACACACCAATCAGTTTTAGACATTAACTTGGTGCGTTCAGAACGAGGACGAAGAACAAAGCAAGTGCAGCCAAAGACACGGAGACGCGAATAAGATGGATGCTTATCATAGAGCTGAAAATAAAGACTGGAGTGATCAAGAACTGGGGTGATTTGATAGTTGATGAGACGAACAGCGGTGGACACAGTTTCAAGCCAGAAGGAAGACGGAACATGAGAAGCTATCAGAAGAGCACGAGTGATTTCCATGACATGCCTATTTTTACGTTCGACCAGACCGTTTTGTTGAGAAGTGTCAAGACAGGCTTTTTGGGAGAGAATGCCCTTTGACCGGTATAGCTGAAGAAGGGGATGTGAGCTGAATTCACCACCCTCATCAGCATGAATGACACGAATAGTTTTATAAAGCTGAGTCTGAATCATTGTGATAAAATCGGTGGCAACGGAAAGGAGATCAGATTTGAGCCTAGGAAAATAGACCCAAGTAAATCTAGTGGCATGATCAACAAAAAGGGCAAAATACTTATAGCCATGGCGAGAGGTTACGGGACTGGGACCTCATAAATCTGTGTGAATGATGTGAAAAGGCTCAAGAATAGCTGTTTGGCTGGATGGAAAAGAAATGCGGGTTGCTTTGGCCTCAACACAACAAGTACACGAAAAATCCGAAGAATCACCAGTCACATTATCACCAAATAATTTTTGTTTGAACATAGTCAAAAGCCTACTAGAATTGGGGTGACCCAGACGAGAATGCCACAAATGAAATTTGTTATTACGAGTACTAGAGAAATCAGGAAAACCAGAAATCCTAGACACCGAAAAGGAGGATGGTGACGTGACTGGAGGCCGCGCTTCGAGTTCCTCCAAGTGAAAATTGCGGCCTTGCTTGCTACCCCGACCGATCTCCCTCCCTGTCGTCAGATCCTGCACAGAACAACCAGACGGTGCAAAAGCAACCTTATTGGACAACTTCCCAGTCATGTGATTAAAACATGCAGAGTCGAGAATCCAGGAAGGAACCTTACCAGAAAACTGAACACTAGCAAATGTAGAAGCAATTGCTTTGTTGACAAGCTGCTCTAGCTCATCCGGTTGCACCACAACACCCTCGGCGGAGCTAGCAGGTTGCGCGGCAAAGGCTGTGCGAGTGGAAGCAGGACGAGCAGCAGGAGAAGGGCCACTAGAAGAGCTCCCCATCTCCCTCATACGAGCCTGTAAAGAGGGATAATTTGAAATAATATGACCAGCCTTTTTACAGTACACGCACCAATTTCGTTTGCGGCAAAACTTTTGTGTATGGCCCTTGATGTGGCAATGATGGCACTCTACATCGGATCACCGCTGAAATTGAGGACGAAGGCTGCATAAGCAGACTCCTCGGCCTCGTCTTTGGAAACAACAAGGACAGGAGGTGGACGACGTTCACGAGCAGCTGGCACACCTGATTTGGCAATGCGGCTTCCACCGACAGCAAAAATGGCCGCATCTCCTTGGCCAGGCTTGACTTCGAGCAGCGACTGGGTACGCAGCCTGGTTTCTTCTTGCAGCAAGGAGGCGAGAACACCCTCCATCTTCAAATTCTCGCGGTGAATGAGAGAGGCACGAAGCGCCTCATATTCGGGACGGAGCCACGCGAGAAACTGGAGCAGCCGAAGGCGTGTCTTCTCAGCCTTCACGTCATCGGAAACCCCAAATGGGATCAACGCAGCGGAGATCAAATCCTGTTCGGTCCAGAGTTGGCGCGCCGCATTATAGTAAGAAGCAATATCCTGGTCGCCTTGATGGAGCTAAGAGAGCTCGATTTCAAGATCGAACTGCCGAGCTACACTTGTAGTGGCATAAGTCTCGGCCAAATTCTGCCACATAGCGGCAGCCGTCGGAAGGGTACGTAAACCCAGCACAATAGAGGTCTCGACGGAATTGAGAAGCGTCGTCTTCACCCTAGCATCGTTCTGCTGCCATTGCAAAAGAGCCTGCGCAGTGGAGGGCGGTACAGAGGGTTTTGGCGACGAACCATCAAGCATAGAAAGAAGGCCTTTACCTTCGATGTAGTTCCGAAACTGAAACTCCCAGAGCGCGTAATTCTTCGAGTTCAAACGCGCTGAAATACGATCAGAATCCATTTGCGAAAGCTCTGATACCATGATAATCGAAACGGAGATACAAAACGGAGATCGATACGGTAACGGAACACTGAACAAGATTTAACGTGGTTTCCTTTCTCAGAGTGAGCAAGACTAGTCCACGGCAGGAAACGTAGTCTCGTATATTCATATGCTCATCAATTACAAGTATACACATATTTATATACTCGACCTACGTAAACCCTAGCTAGGCCGAGATGATCATCTTATGTATGGGCCTATCATACGTATATGGACTGAGCCCATAACTCAACATTAACTTAAGCACTAAGTGTTGGAGTTATTACTCCTTATGCTCTCTATCACCATTCACAACTTTGACTTAGTCCAACTAGCACATGGTCTTCAGAAGTGAAGACTGAAGAGTAGGAAGAATTAACGAAGAAGATGGGTGAATAATAAATGATGGTATGGTGTTTGAGAACAATCTGATAAAAAAGTTAACGATTTTGATTTTGGTTAAAAGAAATCAACAAAACACCCTAAGTTAATACTCATCAACAATACGCATTTTTACCAACTTATGTGTAGTAGATTTCTTTCTTATCTTCATGTTTCTTTTTTGTTTTTTCTAACTTCATTTTTAACTCCCCAAACTATGAGTTAGGGTTTTGATTTTTTGGTTTATTAAAAAACACTAAAATCATTAAGCTATTATCGGTTTTTGGTTAATACTTCTTCCATGGATTAATACGTATATTGAAAAAAATAAATTTAGATACTAAATTCTAAATATATTAAATTTAGGTAGCAAACAAGAATTTACATATGGTTATGGATACAAACCTAAATACATTGATTAAAAATCCAGCCCAAATAAAAGAATATGAGTATATACTCATCAAACTATACCTCTATACCTTGTATATGGATTTCATATCCAAATTAATTGAGTTGGATAAGTAAATACTAAATACCCATGTATTTGGACAAAATTGTCATTTCTATTCAAAATTTGGCATATACAGATTTTGGAAATTGGACATGATTTAAATTCTTTCATTTTCAAAGTTCTTCCCAAATTGAATATTTTTACAAAATCCGACCAAACGAGAGATTGCGTTGAAGTTTCTCATATTGAAGATTTGTCCCACTATAGTCACACATGGCTATGCATTTTGTTGGCCCGTGATTTGGGTACATATTGGAAAATTTTAAGTTTGATTTTTCTCTAGGGAAATGATTGCCCTGGAAGCCTCCCCGCCAGGGGGTGGCCTTGCTTAAACACCGACGGGTCGGTGGTGACAGGTCATGCTGTTGCGGGAGGGGTTGTTAGAGGTGGAGATGGGCGAATGTTGAGGGCTTTTGCTCGGAATCTAGGGGAGGGAACCATAACTCGAGCTGAGTTAGCAGGTTTGGTGCATGGCCTTCATATTGCATGGGAGATGGGGATCCGAAAATTTATCGTGCAGACGGATTCGAAGACGGCTATTCAGTTAATCACGACGGCGAGATTTCGACACCCACATTCAGCTTTGATCTTGGAAGCTCGGCAGATGCTCGCGCAGGATTGAGAGGTGGAGCTTCATCATGTGTTTAGGGAGGGAAATGTTATTGCTGATTACCTGGCTTCTCTAGGCCATGGCCTGCCACCGGGTGATCACAACATCATTGTTCCTTACCCGATGGTTTCACATTGGTTGTCCTATGACTGGGTTGGGGTTAGTAGGCCCCGTTCGGTTAATGTTAGTGAATAAAGGTTGGAGCGTCCTTTAGCGCTCCGTTTCCCAATATAAAAAAGTTGAATTTTTCCATTTTGAAAATGCTGGTCTGTGAGTGATTTTTGGATGGGCTCTGTGGTGATTTTCCAAATCATCAATAATGTTACTGTGCGTTTTAGTTTACACAGCTCAGTTCTCGGTGGCACACATGGACTTGAAGGAACATATTTTACAGAACTTGGGCTACTGTCTGTAATCAATAAGCCCGAATTTGTAAACCCAAGTCCACAATTGTATTTTGCCCACTAGAGTCCTAATAGATTCCCCCATCCCCCTCCCCCTCCCCCGCATCCCTCATCTCAGACTCAGACTCGTCATCCTCCCCTTCCCCTCCACCGCTCCGCCTGTGCATTATGCAGGGGCGGACCCAGGGAGGATTGGGGGTGTCCCCGGACACCCCTAAAATCTCGGAGAAAATTTATCGAACCCCCGATAGTAGTTTGAGCCTAGGAAAAAAAAAAGGTAAAAAAAATAGTGGCTTATTGGATTTCAACCTGGGACACCCTAGTTATTAGCTAACATGTTTTCCATAACACTACAACTCATATCTTGCTACAATTTTAAGATATTGATACATATAAACATATTAATTTTTATCCACAATTGTACAACAAAACCCTAAAACTAAAAACGAATCAGATTCATCTTCGCAAACCCTTCTTCCATCAACCTTCAATGTCGCGCCGCTGAAACACGACTCCTCCGCCGGCCTCGTCCTCTCCGTCGGCCTCATCCTTGTTCGTCGCCCTCCTCCGCCGGCCTCGCCCTCTCCGTCGGCCTCATCCTTGTTCGTCGCCCTCCTCCGCCGGTCTCGCCCTCCTCCGCCTGCCTTCTCCTCTCCGTCGGCCTCGCCCTCTCCGTCGGCCTCGTCCTTGTTCGTCGGTGGTCGGCCTCATCCTTGTTCGTCGGCGGTCGGCCTCCTCTGTCCTCGTCTCGTCCTCCTCCATTTCAGCCGCTGCCCGCTGGCCACTGCAACTCCCCTGACGGTAAGCTATAACTTGTTAATTCCAATTATTAATTGTAATTGTTAAGCAACAGTTTTACAGTGGAGAAAGATACTATGTAAAGATCAGGTACCAATTGAACTTTGCCGCTGGCCACTGCAATTCCAATTGAACTTTGCCATATACAACAATTGAACTTTTCAATTGTCAATTCTAATTTTATGTACATTCTATGCTAGATCAGGTACCAATGGAAAGATACTACTCAAGACAGGTCCAATCTACTCCTAATGTTCAAACTGAAGGTGTTGAAGCTAGTGGGAGTAGACAAGCTCAAACCTTTCCTCCGTCTTCGACAGTAGGAGCTCCTCAAATACAAGAACCAAATCTTTCAGGTTCAGTCAATCGAACTCCAGAAGAAAGCGAGTCTTTCTCCGCAGAGTCAGATAGAGAGTTTGATGAAAACTCTTTGGTGCTAGATCCGGCATTAACAAGTAAGATATCTAGCTTTCATCCCAATGTCCGTGACCAGGTTAGAAGATTTTATCTTCAAAAAGGTCCTATTCAACCAAAGAGTCATGCTTTTCCCGCCAGAAACTTCAGTGGAAGGCAGCGTAGATTCCAGGCTTCTTAGTTTAAGAAGTATAATTGGCTTGAATATAGTTTCTCAAAAGATGCTGCTTATTGTCTATATTGCTATGTGTTCAGTAAGCGAGGTGGGAGTAATGATGGCTTTATTGGTGATGAGAATCGTGATATATCAATGAAAGAGCAGATGGCTATTGTTTTGCGTTATGTGAATTCTGATGGTTGTGTTATGGAAAGATTTCTTTGTACTTCTCATGTGCGAAATACTAAAGCTTTGACATTGAAGAAGGAAATCGAAGCAATGCTTTTGAAACATGGATTGAGCATGTCAATGATAAGGGGACAAGTTATGATGGAGCTAGCAACATGAAAGGGGAAATAAATGGTTTGAAGACCTTGATCTTGGCTGAAAATTCTTCGACATATTACATTCACTGCTTTGCTCATCAACTTCAATTAGCACTTGTTGCGGTAGCAGAAAATCACAAAGAAGTTGGTGACTTTTTCACAACAGTCAATAGTGTGACTAGTTTGGTTGCAGGATCTTGCAAACGAGCTGACATGGTTCGAGATAGCCAAACTAGGAAGCTTGCGGAGGCTATAGCTGTTAATGAACAAGAAACTGGACAAGGACTGAATCAAGAAATGAGTCTCAAAAGGCCAGGTGATACTCGTTGGGGTTCTTATTATGGTGCACTTCTCAATTTTGAGCACTTGTTCTCTACTATTATTAATGTGTTAGAGAGAATCGAGGATGATCCAAGTACAGAACCAAAAACAGCGAGTCATGCATGGCGGATGTTGATTACAATTCAAGATTTCAGGTTTGTCTTCATTTTGAAGTTGATGATTGAAGTGTTAGCAATTACGAATGAGTTGTCACTAGCATTGCAAAGGAGAGATCAAGACATTGTAAATGCTATGAAACTTGTTCGTGTGGGAAAAACTAGATTACAAGAGATGAGAGATCGAGGATGGGAGTCTCTACTTGAGGATGTTATCTTGTTTTGCACTAAGGAATCTGTTCACATTCTTGGCATGGATGATGAGTATGTTCTTCCAGGACGGTCAAGGCGCAAGGCTCCACAGATCACAAACTTGCATCACTATCAGGTTGAATTGTATTACTCTGTTCTTGATATGCAGCTGCAAGAGTTGAACAACCATTTTGATGAGGTGAATACTAGGTTGTTGACTTGTATGGCTTCTCTTAGCCTGGAGAATGAGTTTTCTGCTTTTGACAGGGAGAAGCTGGTTAGTCTTACTCGATTTTATCCTACAGAGTTTGGTCATCTTTCTGACTCTTTTCTTCTAAGGGACTTTGAGAATTACTATCAGTCTGTGAAGAATGATGAGTTATTCCATGGATTAAAAGGAATTGATGAATTGTGTCAGCTGATGGTGAAGACAAAAGTGAATATATCATATCCATGGGTATATTTGCTTCTCAAAGTTGTATTGACTTTACCGGTTGCAACTGCAAGTGTTGAAAGAGCCTTTTCAGCTTTGAGTTACATCAAGAACAAGCTTCGGAATCGACTAGGCGATCAGTTTGTGAATGATTGTCTCGTAGGATATATTGAAAGAGATTTGCTGAATACTGTAGACACGGAATGTATTTTAGAATATTTTCAGAATATGAAAACACGACGTGGAATTTTGTTGTAACTTGTATTAACCAAATATTTGTGTTGTTGAATATTATTCGGATACTTTTCTTATTTAAGAATTATTTTATTTTATTTATTTTAATTTTTTTTTGGCATAGATCGGTATGATAATAGATATTACAGGACGCTAGATAACCAAGAGCGACAGTCGATACTAATCGAACTGTCGATGAAAGAGCCCTTTATGCCACTAAATGGGAAGCTCTGTTAGTTCCTAAGAACAAAGTGACAAAAACACTGAAACCTAAAAAAGGATATAAGCTTTCGCCGTTACACCACACCGTCTTAAACTCTCTGTATGATGACAATTCATCATTCTCACCTCTCACCACACATATCCACCAATAGGAATTTGTGGCACCTTGGTAGATAACAAACCCGTCTTGGCCCTGTAAATAACAAACAAAAAGGGCAAACAAAAGCCAACTCACAGCAAAACAGACAATACTAAAATGATTAGTTTGGGTAAAAGTTATCCAGACTGCAATCAAAACTAAAATTAAATAAGGAGCCAATTCCAATAAACAAGTTCGGAGTTATCCGAACACCGCTCCACCGCCATGGAAAATGATGAGATCAACGCAGTCACACCACCTGGCAGGCAGAGATGGATGAGGGAACGAGAACCCATCCGACATTAAAATCTGCAGGTAATTGAAATTTGAAGGAGAAACCAGTTAAGCAGCTCACCTGCAAAACAAACAAATACAAAAGCCGAACCAAGCCTCCCGAAAGGTCCAAAGCCGCATAGGCTCAAATCAACCAAGCAACATAAACCAATACTAAAAGAATGACTAAGAAAAATCAAACAGAAAGGGACCGACAGGCCCAGCCCAGTCGTGGGTAAGCTAAAATAATAAACTACAACCGAAAATGAATAATAATAATAATAATACCAATGGCTGAAGACAAGATAAAGAGATAACTTTTAGCAATCAATAATAATAAAAAGGATGATAGTCACTCAATAAAAAAATTAAATACCAAAATCGAGGCGCTTAACTAGTTACCACGTTGCATGGAAGGGAATAGGATAACAACCATCCAGACCAGCCGCCCACATCCACCAGTACAAGAGCCACGCCTGTCAGGCACCTGGCAACAGAAGGGCAACGCATGACAGGAATTTGCCAGCGCTTGAGCACAACGAAGGCCAACCGGCGACCGCTCGGATCGGGACTGGGCCGACTTCCTTCGCAGCGCTGTAGAGGACGACGGGACAGCAACCGGACATCACCCCAGCAGCTGCCAGTAGTCTCCCGGCGGACTAGCTCCATCCCCGGTCGGTTTTGAGGCCTACAAAACAAACAAACGAAAATCGCCTCTCGATAGCACTGTGAACCCCATGCCAAGGAATTGAAACAGGCCTAAAAGCATCAGTCGAAGAATGGACGACAGAATCGGAACAGTCGATCAACGCGCGAAAAATAATTCTATTTATCCCTACCTATGAAGCAAACGGATTTTTTAATCACAAAGTAAAAAAGAAGAGGAATCCTAGAAAAAGGCAGGTGGAGAAGAAAAGGAAAAGGATCGCTCTGGTAAAGGGGAAAACAGTTGCAGTACTACTTCCCAAGTAAAGCAAGATCGTCCTCAAAATCAACACCGTTCGCCTTTGACGGCGAGATTGAGAAGAGCGAGCAAGGCGGCCTCGTGGCAGTTGGCGGAGTCACGCACCCGGAGCATGGAGACGAGGTGCGGAACGGCGTGGGCGAGCAGGCGGCGCTGCGAGGCCTTGGCGAGGCGACGGAAGGAAGGAGAGGAAAATTGAAACTTTTGTTGGAGTTTACGTCCACAGATCTTTCTGCCGCCGCTTCTTTTTCCAGGCACTAATTCAACTTTCGAAACTGAATAGCTGCTGGTGAATCGTACCGAGTTAGGAGTTGATGCCAACCGAAAATTAACAATTGTTGTCTTTGGCTTCTCCCTCTCCCGGTCCGTAAGTATTCCTCTCCCTCTACCCCCTCCATCTTCCACAACATCGCTCTCTGTGGTGGTGGGTAGTTTGATTTAAAGAATAACAATAACAAAAACTTGAAAATATCACATTTCCTCCATTTTCCTTAGCCATATCCTAACTCTAGGCTAACTCCTTTAATTTTATTTTGAAAGAGACACCCCTACTCAAAATTCCTGGGTCCACCTCCCAGTAATGTTGCAGAAAATCCAAAACAACATCTCTCTGAAGGCGTTTATTGGTTAGTTTCTTCGACTGTTCTTCAAAGCGGCTGCTGCTTCCTCAGTTCCGCCCTAGGTTCATCTAATCCTTCACCTACCCTTCCTCTTCACCAAATCTGATACCATCATAGTTGGGATCAGAAGAGGGAGCTCAATTGGAAGAACTCCAGGATTTCGACCTCTCTAGCATCCGCTTGTGCATCAGACTCAAAATCGGAAGTGGGAGCTGAATTGGCCTCATGTCAAAGAACTCCATGGTTAAGTGATACGTTGAAAGCGACGGCACGATCAAACTCTAAACTGCAAGATCCTTGCGCAGCAGCTCTAGCTGGTGGTAAGTTTGGATCTAGCAGTTGGGTTCGATTCTTTGACTGTTCTCCACCTACTGGAATCTCATTGTTTCATCCCCAAATTTCACACATGTCTACAGTTGCTTCAGGCGGCACCGTTAGTTTCTTTTACAATGGTAAATATTGTTCTAATTGTCAAAATCAAAGCTTAGTCCAAGTAGTCCAGGATTGTTCTTCGTTCAATCGCGCGAAACACGTTCTTGAGATGGATGAAAGTTGAAAATTCTTGCTCAGATGGAGATTTGGCAAGCCTAGGAGGGAGCGAGTTAAATAGAATGACTGAAACCAATGGGGGGTGTGTTGAGGAACTATTGTTGTGAAAGAGAATTTTGTTCGACAAGGTCATTAAGGCTGAGTTGGTCCTATGATAGTTCTAGTCTTCTTTAGTAGTCGGACTCATCTCAGATAGAGATAGAAGTTGAGGTGGAGGGGTGGCTTCCAAAGTAGGTGAAAGTCATGAACTTTGTTAGCTAGCTATATTTGGCAAGAGCTATGAACGTAGTACTACTAGCTATGCTTCTTGCTCATGGATATGTTATTAATCATTATCAACTTTGCGGCTTTGATTTATGTTTGGTGGCTTTTGCTTGCATGGGTAATTATGAACCATTGAATTTGTGACTTCTGAAACAGTGAAGTGGAGAGAGGATATGGCGAACCAGGCAAAGAAGTTGAGACTTGAGACAATGTTTGTGGAGGTTATCAGGGAGGAAGTTCTTGTAAGTACTGTTTATTCCATTAATTGGAGGCTTGTTTGTCTTAACTTTCATTGGATGTTTAACAGCGGGCAGGGAAGAACTAACAGGGGCAATGATGGATGGAAGAGCAAAATCAACAAAATAAATGAGTTGCAAGAGCGCAATTGTAAACGTCCATGCAGGATAGTATGCACAATCCCTGCAAGTTATTTTGGATATGTTTAGTCATATTTAAAACACGCCAGTAACATGGTTCACCTTCTGATCGAGTTGGTCTGAGGATCATCTGAAACCATGTTTACATGACCTGTTATGACTTTTTCATTTAGTTATTTATAAAAGGAAGTTTATCAGCACACAGCACACTATCGATGAAAATCAATTATAATTTTTATAGCCATCTCTTGCTACTGATTATACAACATCAGTAAACTGTGTCATGTGGAGTCCTCGTTGAAGTGTATTTGGTATATTGCAGTTCTTGTCTGTTGGCTTATGCCGAAGCTGAAGCAATCTTCCGTTGCTCTGGATGGTGGGAAGATGACGTCCCAACTCATAAGCCTTGCATAGAAGCAACAACCACCACGTTTGCTACATGGAAAGTGGATTAATAGGAAATGGCCACTTCCAGCTGCTGCTGCTAATTCAATGCCTTGCAAGTGTCAACTAAAGATTAATATTGTTATATTCTTGTTCATTTGGCAAACTGAATAGAGTTTGCTGCTGCTATTAGCCTGCTATGCTATGACTTTCGGTCCATAATAATGTAATTCCAATTGAATAGAAAGAGTTAATTTTTGTTTGAAGGAACTGTTAGCTTTGTGCTGCTCTTTTAAATTTCCAGAGAAAATTGTCTGCTGTTATAAGTTATAACATCTTTTTATCTATTCTCAATATATATATATGGTGGCTACTTCAGCGCACTCACTTTTTTTGTTGTGTTTATAATACATCAAATTTTGAACTTTAATTAGTACTCTCAATCCAATATGATGATATGACATAGAATCATACCAAATCAATCTAACCTTCAATTTTGAATCTCAACCCAAAATCCCAAATTATAAACCTAAATCCTAACCCTAAATCCCTAAATCCTAAATCCTTCAAATTAAATTAAATTTTGAATGATTTTTTTTCAAATTCATGTGCTTCTTGTTCGTAATATCATAAGCAACAATTGATATCGTTTTGATATGAATCGCATGCTCAGAATGACAATTATGACGCGGGTGCACTGAGTACACCCAAAAAAGTGAGTGCACCGAATACGCCACCACATATATATATATATATATATATATATATATATATATATATATATATATATGGTGGTGTATTCGGTGCACTCACTTTTTTGGGTGCACTCAGTGCACTCACTTCATAATCGTCATTTTAAACATGCGATTTATGTCAAAATGATGTTAATCATCACTTATGATGTGATGAACAATAACGCACATGAATTTGAACAAAAACCATTGAAGATTTACTTTAATTTGAAAGATTTAGAGTTTAGAGATTTAGGGTTAGAGTTAGGGTTTACAATTTGGGGTTTAGGGATAGAACTCAAAATTGGAGGTCTAGGGCTTAGGGTAATCAACTAATTAGTTGTTATCATATGTTATATCATCATATTACACTAATTCTACAAATTAAAATTCAAAATCCGACACCTTAAGACTAGTTTTTGAGTTCGGTGCATTGAACGCACTCATTTTTGTGAGTGCACCGAAGTAGTCAGCTATACATATATATATATATATATATAT